AATAATAATAATAAATAAATCACACGTGTAACATTCACCCACCAAGCCATTTCATCCATATTACCTGCCATGCGAGCGGAGTAGGCAAAGACGATGACATCATCGAGGGCCCAGCTGTACTCCGGGTGTGGCGGGTAAAACGCCAATTGACGAGAGGCTTGCTTCCGTAAGTCCACCAGGTACGTCGAGTGGACCATCGGTACGGCAAAACACCCAAGACGCTCCTGCTTTCTGATGGGTATGTAGGCTGGCGTTCGCTTGTAGTAGCCCTGCCGAGATGGTTGCCCTCATTCACCGATCATGACAAAGAAACTCTTTCTGCACATTTGATTGCACAGATTAAATATTACAGATTCTGGTATTGGTATAAATGCTAAGTGGCACATGCAATATATCGAGGAAAGTACATGATCAGAATCACGATTCATACATTTTTGTTTTTGTTTTTGTAGATGGTCACCATAATTTCCTTTGGTGCAGCTGAACATCTGTTTTGCAACTAGCGAGGAGATTCCAGTGTTTGGAATTCAGACTCACGGCCCGTGTCAAAGCATTTCTCCTTCCTGACGCGCAATATTGCTCAAGGGAGCCTTAAGTTGCGCATACATTGTGGACAAAAACGCTGGCATGGATCGGGTGAAATCACCTCTCAGGGAGATAGCAATAGTGAGCATTTGCATGCAACATATGTATGATGCACTTTGATACACTTGGAAAATCCAATCCGATTGCATACAAGAGCTGAATCTTAAAGCATGCCTTGACAAACATTTTAATGCTCACTTCTCATCATCTGGAAAAGGAGACAGGATGTTCCATGATATTTCTATTCTCCTCCCCAAAGAGTACTGTTTGAACCAAGAGGAACAGTGCTTATAGTTGATTTTAAATTTCTACCCAACCATGTTCAAATGCAATATTTTGGTGACGCTCGGAAAAAAATAGACTGAGATAAATCGTTTCAAAACGTTTTCCACAATTAATGACCTGTAAGCTGTTCGAGTGCACTGATTTTTTGTTTAAATTCCTCCTTTCAAGAAGTAAAAATAAACTGAGATAATACGGATGCAAAAGTGTGCACATCCTCTTACAACAGGAATGTGGCTGTGTTCACAATTGACAAGTTACATTTAAACTCAGGTTAAATGGAATCGGCACATACGTGCCACCATTTAAAGTGCCTATGGTTAACCCCAAACAAATTTCAGTTAGACCAAAGTGCAGTTCCTGACTTTTTTTTTTGTTGTTTTTTGTTTCAGAGTAAATGACTGAATATTTCGTGCGAACACTGACTTGTATTTCCAACAGTTCACCGACCATTTCTTCTACCTAGTCAAAGGCCACAGTTCCAGCTGGAGAAAAAAAGCCCTAAAACATGTTGCTGCTATCACAACGCTTCACTGTAGTTGTAGCATTTTTGGGGTGATGAGCAGTGTTGTGTTTGCGCCAAACGTACCTGTCAAAATGTTTAACCTTGGTTCCAGTGGATCACAACAAAATCTCTCAAACATGTGACATGCAATATTTTGGTGACGCTCGGAAAAAAATAGACTGAGATAAATCGTTTCAAAACGTTTTCCACAATTAATGACCTGTAAGCTGTTCGAGTGCACTGATTTTTTGTTTAAATTCCTCCTTTCAATGCAATATTTTGGTGACGCTCGGAAAAAAATAGACCGAGATAAATCGTTTCAAAACGTTTTCCACCATTAATGAGACCTGTAAGCTGTTCAAGTGCACTGATTTTTTTGTTTAAATTCCTCCTTTCAAGAGAAGTAAAAATAAACTGAGATAATACGGATGCAAAAGTGTGCACATCCTCTTACAACAGGAATGTGGCTGTGTTCACAATTGACAAGTTACATTTAAACTCAGGTTAAATGGAATCGGCACATACGTGCCACCATTTAAAGTGCCTTTGGTTAACCCCAAACAAATTTCAGTTAGACCAACATGTATTTCCTGACTTTTGTTTTGTTGTTTTTTGTTTCAGAGTAAATGACTGAATATTTCGTGCGAACACTGACTTGTATTTCCAACAGTTCTCCGACCATTTCTTCTACCGAGTCAAAGGCCGCAGTTCC